GGGGCTGTCTGAGGACTGTCTATGAACTTTATGTTTTGATCCCCATGTTGACAAGTCGTGATACACAGCTTTCATGTGTTAGGGCGTGCGTAAAGGACTAAAATATGTTGTCTTAGGTCGAGAAAGCATAGGTAAAAGGTCTTCACACAAGGACATTACGAATAAAGCAAAAGAGAGTCAAAATCAGCTTTAACTGATTGTTAACAATGATGTCTTTGTGAATGAACTATTGAACATAGTAATTTTGTTAACTTTTTTTTTACTCGAAGTGCACCCCCTCCAAAAACAACAACAACAACAAAAAAACAACAACAAACAAACGATTTTAACTATTGAAAAGGTAATAATGATTACCGTATCGCCTTTGTATTTTAAACTGAGATTTTTAAAAAATTCTAACTGTACTGATGTGCAAATACTATAGTCTTAATTGTTAGCTTGTGTTGTTGGGTTCCTTAGCTTATTGGTTACAATAATTTTTAAAGCGTTATATAATTCACTCATTGCTCCTCCTCTTTAGTCTACCGGCCAAGCATGTATATTGCTTTCCTTCATCTCTGACCGAAATCAATTACGCTGATATTCAGGTCGTAACCCATCATTGTGTTATAAACGCACCAATTAAAATCCGAAGAATGAAAGGCTAGCTCAACATTACACAAGGCGATCGGACAGTCTAAAATACAGGCGCAAAGTCTGTCTAGCAAATTCGGATGCACTCATCATGATAGATGGTCAGGGAAACAAAAGCACCGATGTGATCCTATCTGACGCGGCCCTAGCTGTTGGCCCTGCCTTCCGAATCACGCCTTGCTATAGTTCGATGTTCGGAGAAATCAAAGGCATCGAAAAGTTCACACCTGGGTGGGATCCTTTCATTATGTACCCAGTACCCAGCGAACATATTGTACCACTCATCGAGAAATTTAGGGCGGGGAGGTGATCGTACTAGTACGATGTGGATGATCTATGAAGGTATTTTTTGTTCAGCTAAACATGATGTGGGAACTTCAGACTCCAGATTGGGATCTTAGGGTTCACTTTTGCGTAGAAAATGTATTTATTTATTTATTTATTTATTTATTTATTTATTTATTTATTTATTTATTTATTTATTTCTATTTTTTTCTTGGGGGGGGGGGTATTTCTTCCGTGTTGTTGTTTTTTCAAACAACGGCATCTTAAGTGAATCATAAACGATGGGGAGTACATTGATAGATTAAACCGAATAGAGCACTGTCAAAGGGGTCTCAAACTCTTTCCACCCTGCCTGATCCGTTTCCTTTGTTTTTCTTTAATTAACAGAGAAGTTGTTCACCGTTGTTGTTAAGCAGATACTGAATTTAAAAAAAAAATGGAGCTACTATGACATCTACATTTAGACATCAGCAATAGTAATGAGATAAATGCGTTTTAAAACACAAAATAAGTCCACTGACTTGCCTAATCTCAAGGACCTCAGAATAAAACCCTCTTTCCTATCTAGATTTCAGTGCGAGAGTCGGGCAGCGCGGAGCGCAGGTTGACCATGGTTCCGCTGCAAGAGAGGGCGTCTTTGAGGCGTGGGTTGCCCCCCCCACAGAGCAGCCTCCATTACTGTTCAACCACCTTGGTAACAACCAATCTGCTTATTAAGCCAAACAAATACACAGGCCTACTATTTACAATATCGATTACTCGAGGTTATAGTCTACAGATCCCACAACTTCACCCGCTCCACCAATACATTACCTTATATTCACCCTGTGCGTGTGTGAATAACCAATGACTAATCTTGAAGAAAACAATTAACAGCACTGAAAATAGAAACTATTCTTCTTTTTTTTCTCCTTTAAAATAAAAAAAAAATCTCCCCATGAACGATAATTAACTTTCCTAAAAAATCTCACGAACCAAGTTTTTCAACTTCCTACCAGCTTTAATAGAAGGGCAAATGAAAAAGGAAGTGGATTATAAGTCAACAGACAAATCAATGGAAGGTGCTCAGCTGATTTTTTTCTCCCTCACTCTTTCGCTTTATTTAAAAGCTAGTGTAATTGTAAGTGGTTGCACCTAGGTCTGATTGCACCTAGATCTAGGGCAGATTTCCCTATGCGTAATTAGGTCTAGTACTAGTAGCGTTTTTATACAGGGGAGAAACCACTTTTCATGGCGCATCTTTCTAAAATGGACAATTAAAATGAAGGAAGTTTGGGGCTTTTGAAAATATAATGCTAATTAGACGTCGATATTGTTGTTATGAAAAAATAAATTTTAGTCAATTACATGTACTCCATAACTACGTCATGTAGGTCTATTTATTGTATACCTGACACAGCAAATCAGACAAAAGTTACACTGGCCAATGGATAGGCCTATATTGGCATACGATAACCGGTAGACCAAATTTTAATTACGTTGAAACACACTTTAAAAGTTAGTTAGTTTTTATTTTTATTTTTTTGTCTCTCTTTTAAAATTTCATTTTTTGGCATAATAGGCCTTTGCGTTTTTCTGTCATAAGACGGCAGAATTTGTATCATAGACATGGTCCGGTGCAATCACGAGTAGGCCTTACTATAGTGACAATTCATCTGCTTATCACATTCATAGAGAGATTATGGGGTGCTGGAAACCAAAGTGATACTGGAATTTGCTTTTTCTTAGGTCTAGTTTTTAAAATAATCACGTTTTCATAATTTAGAAATAATCAATTTATAGAACTTCGAACTAGCGGTGACTATACTTATTTGATTCGTTGTCTCTTGGCTTAGACGTAGTACCCATGAATTCAAGTTCTGGTATTTTTCTTGTAAAAAAACAACAACACTTGCTGAAATCTCCTCAATACAGAAAGCCTCACGACAGCGCTGAAGTCTCCTCTCTTGAGTACCGGGTAGTCCAAAATATCAGTCACGTGCAGAAAAGATACCTGAAATGTCTTCAGGAACATGTTCCCCGCGTTTATCACTCACAGATCCATATTCATAAGAACGTCCACATGATTACATGCAACCAGGTTGTACTTCATTGTAAACAATGGCCAAAAAATCTGCGTCATCTTTTCTTAATGCCCCCCCCCCCTTTCCCTTTACCAGTGGCAGTGGGTGGTTCTAAAAGTGGGTGGGGCTAAGAAATTAGGATAGGTTGAGATCAAAGGTGGTCGAGTTCAAAGGTAAAATTTTCTTGGTTCAGGGGACATTCTAGATATAGATCTAATAAGTGAGAGTATGTTTCATATGAACTTATGCAGTTGCACCTTTCGCAAAAAGACTTATCCTACCAAAAAAAATAAAAAAAATAAAATAAAATAAAATAAAATAAAACAACAAGCAGACGCACACATACAACATTATCTGGATTAAGCTGTGCGGTCGCAGAAAGCAAGACATTCCTAAAACGAGAGCCCACGAGCGTGTTTTGGTTACTGGGCAAGGAGGTGATTGTTGTAAGGTTCTTGTTACTAGGTCTCAGGGGGAAAGTGTGTCATGAACTCCCCCTTCCCCCGTTGTCTGGGCTGGCAGAGAACGAGCCCTCTCTGACAATAGTATCCGTGAACTCTTGTTTGTTTCCTTTACCTTTTTTTTTTTTCAAGAAGAGTTTCATTTAGAAAGGACAGTGGGAATATGCTCATCCTTTGCTGAACCCTAAACACATTTGATTGGCTGTTAGATAGTACAAGACAAGATGGGCCACTCAGCCTAAAAAGTGTCCGCAGGAAGTATGCTCTTTGTTTCAGATGGCGCTGCAGTCTGTTTTGAAGCTCTCTTTCGTTTTTTCAGAAGAAGAATAGGAATAGCACCTCCTTGCGTGCGCAGATCGACTGCTGTTCATCAGCAGTTCGGGTACGTTCAGTGCGGAGTTTTAGGTTAAAAATTTTTTTTAATGACCTCTCGTCCTTCATTCTAAAGTCAAATTAAACGAAGAAAAACCATCTCCTTTTCCTCTGGAAGAGGTTTTTTGTCAGCGTAACCATTTTTAAAAAGCGTTCTTCCGAAATTTATCCCAAAACTTGCTTGTTTCACTTTGATTTTTTAAAACTCAAGTAGGGTAACTCTGTTCGCAAAGAGTGCGCTTTTGTGAAGAGGGCGCCACCAAATTTTGAGGACACTTTTTTAATTGGTTCAAAGAGAGAAGTGGCCCATCTTGTCTTGTACTATCTTTGCTATCGATGTAAGTGGTGGCTACAGTGATTGGATGATCGAGCAAATGCGTGTGTTCACTGTAGGCAACAAAAGGCGGATGCGGAAGATTCTGAAACAGTTCAAACGTTTCAACTGATTATTT